TCGGAGGACCCACTCTCTCCCATCCTTCTTTCCTGCGTGTCTGTCCATCCCTCTCACCTGGTCCTCCTGCTTTCCTTCAGCTGGGTCCCTTCCAACCTCCAACCCCGTGGTTAAGGGAAAGCCCCTAAATGAACTCTCCTTGCTGCCTCTGTCACATCAAATTCATTTTATGGCTTTCCCTTAACCACGCCCCTAATTCCTATCTCACTGTTAGGCACTGCTCTCTCCCGTCTCCTTCCTCGGCGTTTTGCAAATTTATTGATTAGACATCAGTTTCTCTGCACAGTTCACTGGCTGTAAGAGCTCGTGAGACTGGGCTCATGACACCCCAGCGTCTGTCCACGTTCTCCATAGTTAGTTCCTGAATGTATGAGGTGGTTGTTCTTCCCTTCCAAAGTTTTAAAATAATACTTGGCTAGTTTTTCCCCCTTTCCCCTATCAAATAATTTATCACATTCTGGTTTTGGCTGTTATCATTTTATCCCGTTTCCTCGCATCCGCCTGGACGCCACACTGGTCCATGCCGGATCCTACCAAGAGGGAGCATTGCTGGAGTCCCCAGGTGTCCCCTCCTCCGCCTTCCTGTCCATCCCCGACGGCCCCCGCTGTGATGCCATCCGTCCAGGAATTCTCGGGCTTAAGAACCCAGAGCGGTTCTCTGCTGATTACCTCAAGTCTAGCAATAATGCCTCCTTTTCCTTACCTGCCTTTGCAAAATTTTGACTAAGACAGTGAAAGAGATCTGACTTAACCCACTCCATCTTGCTTCTAACACCCGAGCTGTCCTTGTTCATTCCTGGGCATAGGCTGAATTAACTTTGGGAGAAACTCAGTTTAAACAAAGAAGATAACAGCCCTTTCCCAAAGCCGACCTCCTTCCTGCCTGGGGACTACACTGCCCTTGTAGAACTAACAGCAGCCATAAGATTAAAACTTATGGTTTAGGAGTCACGCAGCTGGAGGCTACAAGATTCTGACCCTCCCTAAACTGCTCCTAAGATCAGTGCTTGGGATGCTTTGCAGACCCTGCACTGGGTGGATCAGCTGGCTCCACCCAGATCCATAAACTAGCCCATCTGTTCTTATGGCCCCACCCAGGAACTGACTGAGCGCAAGAAGACAGCTCCGCCTCCCTCTGATCTCATCGCTGACCAATCAGCCCTCCTGGGTCACTGGAGTCCCCTACCGACCAAGTTATCCTTAAAAACTCTGCTCCTCCAATGCTCGGGGAGACTGATGGGAGTAATAATAAAACTCCAGCCTCCCGCAGAGATGCCCTGAGTGAATTACTCTTTCTTTATTGCAATTCCCCTGTCTTGGTGAATCAGCTCTGTCTGGGCAGCAGGCAAAGTGAACCCCTTGGGCAGTTATATCATCGGGCTGAAGTACAAACAGGCACACAGAGGTCCGCCAGGTGGGGACTGGGCAGCCGCTGCTGTCTCTCTTCCCGCAACCAATTTCCTTACTGGAGGAAACCAACCTTCGCTCCACTCCACAATGGAATGAATAAACAGGGCAGGCTCTCTGTGTATTTATTATTTACAAAATCAGGCTCTGTTCACAAACCTTTTTTGTAACTTGCTATCTTTCACTTAGAAAAAAATCACAGCCATCTCTCTAGGCTAATGTCTATCCTTTGAACTCATCTTTTTGAATGGCTGCATAGTATTCCTCAAAATATACTTACTATAATTTATCCAGCCAGTCCCCCAAGTTCCTTTACTAACAAGGCTTATGTTGTTTTATTTCACTACAAAAATAATTTACAAACATGATTACAGGTATTTTGTACATATTTATAGAGCTTTCTAAAAAGATATTGTCACTTTACCATTGAAAAAGAAAACATTCTGGCTGGGCGAGGTGGCTTACGCCTGTAATCCCAGCACTTTGGGAGGCTGAGGTGGGCAGATCACGAGGTCAGGAAATCGAGACCATCCTGGTTAACACGGTGAAACCCTGACTCTACTAAAAACACAAAAAATTAGCCGGGCGTGGTGGTGGCACCTGTAGTCCCAGCTACTCAGGAGGCTGAGGCAGGAGAATGGAGTCAACTTAGGAGGCAAAGCTCGCAGTGAGCTGAGATCACGCCACTGCACTCCAGCCTGGGCAACAGTGCGAGACTCCGTCTCAAAAAAAAAAAAAAAAAAAAAAGAATCCATACCCTTTTTGGTAATGTGTGATCATGGGGTTGTTTCTGGAAGCACTGGTCACCTTGAATTTTATTCCACCCTTGGCTTTGGTTCAGTAAAGCCATGTGTCTTGTCATCTCCCTGGCCCCCAGGGAGGCTAAGCATTCTCTCACGCCTTCCCCGTCTGCATCTCCTCTTCTGTGAAATTGTGATTCATGTCCTTTCCCTGTTTTTCTTCTTTCTTTTCACGTTTTTCACATCAATTCGTAATAGCTCTCTGTACATGGCGGTGCTAACGCCTTCGCCCACCTTATCTGTTGCCAGTATTTTCTTCCAGCTTATTGTTGATACTGTTTTGTTATTTTTCCATTTTGCTGAGGTATTTTTTCCCACATATACATAAACGTTTTTGGTAATACAGTCATTTGAAAAGAATCCCAGTCTCCATGGCCTGTCTGTGACTTTCTCACTGAGGCTTGCATTTTGGGGTGAGTGGCCGCATCCCCCCACGGGCCCGTTCCTTCCCATGTCCTCACCAGGCTCAGCCCTGGTCTCATGCCCTGCTCCCTCCTCCCAGCGAGTCCTCCTGCGGCCATCTGGCTCCCCACCCCCGCCCCAGGCCGTGCTGCCTCCTGGTGATGTTCAGAGGTGTCCGGTCCCTCCCTAATGAATGCCTGTCCCAGAGGATGTGTGGCTACAGTGCAAGTGAAGAAACAAGCTGTCTCTTTTCGATAGCTACAGAACACACAAATGTAACGAAAGTGCTGCTTTTAATAAGTAATAGACAGTGTTCTGTACTGCTGACCTATAGGCCTGCTTCCCAGACTCCATCTGGTTTATATCCAGCATTTTCTGTCTCTACTTCTCCCAAATTCAGATTTTAGAGATGTGGTAAAAAAATTTAAAATAAAAAATTCAAATATGTTTTGCCATAGAAAAATATTACTAGAACTTCCCATTTTTGCAGGTATTTGAAATTATCTTAATGATTTTTCCAGTTTCCAAATTCTTTTTAATCCATTTTTAAAAATTACTCTACTTATTTTTTAGGGGGAGGAAAATACTAAAAGAATAAAGAACAGAAAACTTAGAGAATCCTGTGTCTACGAGTGATAGAATGTGGACTCTGTGACATACGTTAAATATTCACGGGGGTGGAAATATGTTGTTCCACAGAAAAGTGATAGAAATGAAAATGCTCTGAAGATTATTAAATGGGAAACATGAAGTTTAGAGACAGGGCATGGGCTTGGAATAGTTTTGTTTTTGTTTTTTCCTACTTACTGTGTCTCTTTAACTTTCAGGCCTCAATTTTATCATCTGCACAAACTATGCCACAGGAATGTCTTTCCCGTGTGTTCATGTGACAGTCGGTGGATGTGAACATTCTAGCACGTGTGGAGGAACCCGGAAAATGCACAGGGCTCCACACGCATAAGGGGGTGCTGCTGTGTGCCTGGTGCGGTAGCTGTGAGTTCACCAGACTGTCGTCCTCACTGCGCTCTCTTCCCGTGAGTGCCCTTCTCCATGAGAGAAACGCACCACTAATAATCACACTGCCCTCCCTTCAAGGAGCAGGAATAGGAAGAAAAAAAAAAAAGCATCAACAAGAGCATTCTAAATAATAGGAGAAAACCCTAAAAAAACCCTGCCTGTTGCAGAAGAAAAGAGGAAGTTCTAGAAAGGGTGGAAGAGAAGAGGAAGGAGTATTATGTTGTCAGCACAGCCGCTGTAGGGGGAGGACCGAAGGAAGCGAGCGGGTGGTCTCTCACTGACCACTGCTGGGTAGTGGCTGAGCGTGAGCGAGGCCATCCCGTGTGGGGTCGGAGCACAGAGGCTTTGTCCCCGGGTGATGGGCGTGGGACCAGCTGAGGCCGAAATCCCCATCCCAGCCAACACTGCCTGGGCTTCGTGCTCTTTTCTCAAGGGGAGTCCCAGGAGAATGCGGAAGGATTCTCAGAGCCGCTGCACTGGGCAGGTGCCAGGGAGGTGGGCAGTGCTTTGCCCAGGACCGCCCCAGGGGACAGAGGCACGTGACAGCTACAAGAGGGAGGACGGAAGCTGCTCTCTGTTTCTCAGAATCCAAGATGGGGTCAATCCAGCCATCAGAAAAGAAGAAGTGACGGACATAAAAGAGGAGAGAGGGAAATCTGGAGGAATGGTTTAGAAGAAAAAGCCAAGATACCTTCTGAGGATGGAAAGTGGAAGAGGGAAGGGCCGGAGAGGCCGAGGTGGAGGAAGCGGTGTGCAGGCTGATTGTTTTGATCACATAAGGAAGTGGTTTGTGGACAATGTGGTCTGGAACAGGCTAGCAGACCCAGGCTAGCAGATGTGAGTGCTGCTGTTTACTTAGTTCTTTTCACACACGCAGAGAGCACACAACCTAACCGTCTACAGTGGGGGCCATCCTGCCTCAGTGTGGGCCGCACAGAACTGAGTGTAGACGGGCCACCTTTACCTAGTGAGTGAGGGCCGCCCTGCCTCAGTGTGGACTGCACAGAACCAAGTGTAGACGGGCCGCCCTGCCTCAGTGCGGGCTGCACAGAACCGAGTGTAGACGGCAGTGGACTTACAGAACCAGTGTAGACGGGCTTCCTGCCTCAGTGCGGGAAGCTGAAGCACAGAACTGAGTGTAGACTGGCTGCCTTTACTCAGTGAGTGAGGCCGCCTGCCTCAGTGCGGGCTGCACAGAACCAGTGTGTAGACGGGGCCGCCTTTACCTAGTGAGTGAGGGGTCAGCTGGGCCGCCCTGCCTCAGTGCGGGCTGCACAGAACCGAGTGTAGACGGGCCGCCTTTACCTAGTGAGTGAGGGCAGCCCTGCCTCAGTGCGGGCTGCACAGAACCGAGTGTAGACAGGCCGCCTTTACCTTACAGGAAGTCTTCTCTCCTAGGAACGGAGGCAGCGTGACTCCTGGCAGGACGCAGGCCCAGAGTCAGGGGCTCGCTCTAAGCTCTACTCCTGGTCCTCTCCAGCTTGTGACTATGGCAAAGTCACTTAATCTCTCTGTGCCTTGATTTCTCCATCTGCAAAATATGAAAAGCAATATACAGCACCTCATGAATTCATCACCACCACCACCTTAGGAAGAGACATACACAGGGTGTCGTCCTCTTTGCAACTGTCAACACGCACACATCAGCTTCCTCCAGGAAACAAAAGTTCTCTTTCATGTCCATGAACAACGCATTCCCCTTTACAGTTTATTCTCCTAGATTTGACGCCTGCTGTTTGGACTGTGACCCTTGCCCAGGCTCCTGTGGGAGCAAGCCCCGGCTGAGAAGGTTTGTTCTCTGCCAGCTACGTCAGCTCTGTGCTCTGTGCTCTGCCTGAGACGGTTCCATGAGCTCCCAGTTCCTGTGGACCAGAAGCCCTGCGCGCAGCTGTGTCCTCCCTCCTGCCCAGACTCGGGGTAGGCTCAGCCCGTGCGGCAGCATCGGAGGAGCTCCACACCAGGATTCCCACTGTCACCCTTATTCATTCTGTGATGTCTCCGGGGACTTCTGGGGTGACAGGATCAGCCTAGTCTCCTTAAAATTTGCAGAACTTAAAACCTTACAAAACACTTTCTTACCCGTTATGTCATTTGGCCATCAATTGAACTTTATGTGAATTTTACGAATAAAGAAACTGATACTCAGAGAGGGTGAAATACGTGCTCAGAACTCCCCAGTTAGTCAGAAGGAGAGAATAACTGAAACTGAATTATCTGTGTTAAGATCCAGTACAGTTCTTCCCACCGTGAATGAAGGCTGTCCCTACATACGCTCAGGAAGGCCCCGCAGCGCTGAGATACGGGTCAGGGAATCTGAGTCTCACCACTAGGTCCTAGGGGAGCCTTGGGTGGTGGCACTGGATAGCTGGCCCCTTACGATGTCCATTCCAAAGGATTCAGTGCTTCCTGCTCTCCAGGGTTGACAGGACTAAAACCCTCTGGGCTGTTTTGAACCTCAATAGGTCAAGTGAGCCGGCAGCCCTGAGCCCCTGCAATGATGCAGCTTAATGCAGATAACCATCATGGAAGTGCCGTCCCACTTTCTATGCAATTCCTCATTTGAGCAACAGGAAACCAGAAAGTGGAGTTAAATAAGAAACACAGGGAGTCATAATAGGGCCATTTTCCCCAGAATTCGCCAATCTTTTCCTTCGACCTGGAAACTAGCCCACCTCGTCCACTTCTGCTGACCATTAGGGACTGAGCCCCAAACCCTTCCCTGTGTACTTAATTTTCCCCAAAGAACAACTTCATCCACACACACAGTTAATAAGGGATGGAGCATGTATATCTTGTCAAGAACATAATGGTGGATATGAACCTCAGAAGGTTAAAAGTCCTGATTAGTCCCTTGAAAGAGAAAGGAATTAGACCAAATTGATCCTTTTTCTCTACTACATTGTAGTTTAAAACAAAATAACTTCTCTTACCCCTTTGGATATAATAACTCCCCTACACATTACCACGAACTCTGAACTATCTTACAGAATCCTCTGTTATGTGAGACCCCGGGGCCCACACAATTCCTACCCGCCTTTGGATCTTATGTGCCTGCTCCTAGTGGTTAATATGGATTCACTGGAAAAACAAAAAAGAAAACAAAAGAAAGAAAAAGAGAAAGAAAATGCTTGCATTGCCCTGTGAAGATGGATTCTAACTGCTCAGACAATGCTGTACATGTGACTCAACCAACAAGCAAAATCTTTAATAGTTAAACAATTTTCAATTAGACAGATGGGGTTATAAAAGCACTACCACTTACTACTTCATGATTTGAGCATGTTGTTTTATAAGCATTAATTTCCTAGACTTTCAATGTCTGAATTAAATAATATATCAAAAATGTCTGGCTTATCATTAAATGCTCAATAAATGATAGTGGGCAGTGATATTAATATCGCTAGATACCAATTTGTTAGTATACAATTTCAGTTTCTAATTTCTAACTGTGATGATCTAGACAAGCAGCAAAGGTTACATACAGAAAACTCTGGCTCCCAACATGTGAGTGTGACCAGTGAGTCTGCCCACCCCTGACTGAGGGCTGAGTCTCTGGGACTCTGCTAGACACAGCTAATGCAGTAGAAAACAGATGGGTAAGACATCGCTACATAAACTCAATGGAAGGTGGAGAGAAAGAATAGACAGAAGCTGGAATGGACATAGTTGCAATCTTAAATATGTAGAAAAATAATTTACTTTGGGTGTAAAGACAAATGGAAAGTATGAAAGAACAGAAAATTTAAAAATATAAAAATGTATTTTTGGGTAAAAAAGAAATTCCATGGCCATCTTTAAATTTACCACCTTTGGGGTCAACAAATGAGAAAAATCTATTAAAAGAAAAAAATTAAAATGAGTTAATACATTGGCAACATGCTCAGTTTTCATGCTGTGTCATATGTGGGGTGTTTGGTTTTTTTAGTAGATTATTTTATAAAGCTATAGTTATTTTAAAAAGCATTTTGCAATCAGCTAATGTCAATGGAATATTAGTAATAATATCAAGAAACATACATATGACTAGCTCATATCTAAAAACTAAACAGTTATTAATGAATGACAAGCAAACTATGCTACAATTCATATTCATAGTATAAATTAAAATGGGTGTGAGGTTTTATTAAAGTTGTCATATAAAGCATGCTCATTTGTGGGATTTTATGAACAATAACCTTATGCTAGACAATGCTCCTTAAAGAGCCAATGGAACAAGGAATAATGATGAGATGGAAGAAGCTGAAATCCATCCACGTTATTCTGATCAGAAGGTGGCTGCACATGACTCCAGAACAAAGTACTGTACAAAACCCAAAGCTCCCATCCCTGGGCAGGAGCAGGGCAGCGAGTCTGTCCCCCCAGCCTCTGCGGCCACCAGTGGAGCACAGAGTCCTGTCCCAGGACAGGGGTTCAAGTCCATTCTCCGAGCCTCTGCGGCCACCACTGGTGCAGAGAGTCCTGTCCCAGGGCAGGGGTTCGAGTCCATTCTCCCAGCCTCTGCGGCCACCACTGGTGCACAGAGTCCTGTCCCAGGGCAGGGGGGTCGAGTCCATTCTCCCAGCCTCTGCGGCCACCACTGGTGCACAGAGTCCTGTCCCAGGGCAGGGGTTCGAGTCCATTCTCCGAGCCTCTGCGGCCACCAGTGGAGCACAGAGTCCTGTCCCAGGGCAGGGATTCAAGTCCATTCTCCCAGCCTCTGCGGCCACCACTGGTGCACAGAGTCCTGTCCCAGGGCAGGGGTTCGAGTCCATTCTCTGAGCCTCTGTGGCCACCACTGGTGCACAGAGTCCTGTCTCAGGGCAGGGGGGTCGAGAACCTACCAAAATCCCCCTTTTGTGGCTCCTAGTTCATTTTAAAAAAAATATTTAAAGTCAGAGGCAGAAATTTCCTCTGGGACATCTATTTTAGGCAAGCAAGTTATCCGACCTGTTTTGTTTCTGTGTATTTGATTTTGAAAACCAAGCATTTGTAAGTGGCCGTCTCCAGAGCTTGACAAGAACTAGCCTGAGTGCTGGGTGCCCCGCCCTGGGCTGGGCAGGTCCTGTCTCAGCAGGACCACAGGGTGGGTGTGGTGTGTAGGGGCTGTGCACTGTCTCCCCCGCCCCCCGCCCTCTGGCTACAGCAGACTCCATGTGACCTGAGGGCAGGGGGTTGTTTATTTTGGGTTCCTTATGAATCCCATGGTTTCAGTGTCCCACACCACTCTTTCTTGGATTTCTCCTCCAGTTTGTGGACACAGAGCCCCAGGCATTTTTCAGAATGGGGACCTCCAAGCAAGGGTTCCGAGGCCCTGCGTGTTGGAAATGTCTATTTCACTAAGGGGATAATCATCTCTCCCAAGACTGCAAAGGCCCTGGGGCTATTTTATTCTATGCTATGCACGTATAGTGTTCAGGTTTACCAACGGTTCCACTCCATTGCCAGGCCAGTCTGCAGTCTGATCCTGGTTCCCTCGGGAAGCTCAGAAGCACGGGTTTTCTCTCTAAACAGCTCTAGGGTCTTCTCTTCTCTTCCTGTTGGTTTTGTGGAGTCTGATGAGTTTAGGTTTTTTTCATTCTTACTGCTTGACATGAGTGCCCCCACACAACCTGAAAACTGTTCACCTCCCAGAACTTTCTTCTTTATTAATTTTCCCCTCTTTATTTCCTTTATTATTATTAGTTGGTTTGAATTTCTACTACTAAATGGATTTGGATTGTTGGATTGTCTAAATTTATCTTCCACTGGTTTTAGCTTTTTTTTTTTTAAATCTCTTTTTCCTCTCTAAGTTCCGGAAGGTTTTCTAACATTTACCTTTGACTCCCTCAATTGCACTTTAAGTTTTCAGTACTCCAATTTTAATTTTCAAAGTTAGCTTTTGTCACAGTCACACATTGGCATTTATTTTGGTGAATTCTTGTCTTTACAAGAGGATAGAGATCAAGTCGCACCACTGTGTGATTAATATCTCACACAAGGTACCTTACATGTAAACAGTTGATCAATAATAGAGTGAAGAAATAAAGGGAGAAAGAAGTGAGTGAGGGCATCTCTGCTCAGGGCCAGTGCTACCGTGTCCCTGCTCCTCACAACTGTAGAAAGTGGGTGTTACTAGCCCCATTGTGCAGATGGTGGACAGAAGCTGGAAGGGGTACACAATTTGGTCATTTTTGCACAGTTTATGAGTAAGTCATGAGAGGAAGCACAGGGTGTCCTGAAGCAATTCAGGCAAAAGTAAAACAGTGAACAATGTCAGGACCTCCTGGGTTCCCCTCGTTGGGCATGACCTCTTAGCACCTCAGAGTTCAGCTGAAAAAAAGGCCTGGTTCCAACCTGGTGCCCTGGGGATTCTTGGTTTACTTTCTCATTCCTTGAATGGGTCTTGTTACCTCCAGTTCCTCTTGCTCAGAGGTGGGGGGTCACCTTCTTTCTACATGGAAACAGGATCGTGGCTGTCATGTTTTAACCCTGCTCCATGGTGAGAAGTAGATTTTACCTCTTGATCCCATGTGCACATCCTATGTATATTGTAGAGAGATTTGAAACCATGAT